CTTGGATTATGTGCCCTGTAATAGTAAAAATGAATAACAACAAAAATACACGCTAAAAATATCGACTCTTGGTAATGTTCCAAATACAATTTGTTTTATCTCTTTGATCCTGAAGGAGCATACGTGAAAATAGATAAGGTATTATGGTTCCAGAAATTTCAAACCTACAAATCCCACTTTAAGCAATCGATTTCAATAACCAAGAAGAATAAAAAAAGATAAAGAATGAATACTTGGACAATGAAAGTTAAGTAAATATGAGAAATCCTGCATAAACAGATTAAGGAGGTGGAAATAGCGGATTTCCATGAAATTGGTTCCGATCTTGGTAATCAAGATCAAAAAATCTCGGTGATTGTTGATTTCTAGGAATGGATTAATGCTTGAGATTTATTGGGAGTTGATTTGTAGCATACAAGTTGGAAACTCTTAATTGTTTCCAATGTAAGAGCGAGAATGAAGGCGGATTGGATTTTAAAGGCATAAAGGGCATTTTCAAAACTTCACATAGAAACTTCGAGTGAGAAAATTCGTTGGGAGCGGCTCAATAATTGCCACGTGGCAATTTGGGTACTCATTTATTATGATACTAGTTTATAACCCGTGGGAACCATAGTTATAAAGTTAATTAAACTTTTATAGTAAAAACTCAAAATTATTAATCAAGTATTTTAAATAAGTTATTAACTAAGAGATGTTTTTATTAGTTATATGAAATTATAATCGTTAATTCAAATAAATATGTAAAATTAATTTTTAACATATATTAGATATTTTTTATTTGTGAATTAATGAAAACAATAATATAAAATTTAAATTTAAAATTTAAAATAGAGAATAAATACATTGACAAATAGCATCACATTAATGATGATGTCTAATAAATTTAAAATAGAGAACTAATAGATTGACAAGTGGCAACACATTAATTAAGAGGTCTAATATGATGACACATGACAAAAAAATTACTCTTTTATTAGTATAGACTACTTTATAACCCATCGAAACCACGGTTAGAAAATTAATTAAAATTTTTAAGTAAAAAATCAAAACTATTAATTAATAATTTTAAATAACTTATTAATTATAATATATTTTTTTAGTTATATATAAAACTGTAATCGTTGATTCAAATAAATACGTAAAATATATCATCTTATAATTTTTATAAATTTTATTTTATTATAATTTGTATAAATTTTATTTTATTTTTATTCTAATATTATTAATTTAATGTAATTAAAATGTGATTTAAAATTTGAAATTTGAAATTTGAAATAGATAATCAATAAATTGACAAGTGTCATTGTATTAATTACAATACCTAATATGGTGACACATGGCAAAAGAACTACTCTTTTATTAGTATAGAAAGATAAGAGAAGATTGACAAGTGTCACAATATTAGAATTTCTCATTAATATTATATGTCACCTATCATGCCACATGTCAACCTATTAATTCTCCATTTTAAAATTTAAAATTTAAATTTCTCACTCTAATTACATTAAATTAATAATTGATTATTCATTTCAAATTTCAAAATTTAAATTTCATACACTAATTACATTAAATTAATAACATTAGAATAAAAATAAAATAAAATAAAATAAATATATATTATTTCATGTATTTATTTAAATCAATGATTATAATTTTATACAACTAAAAAATATCTCTTAATTAATAATATATTTAAAATAATTTATTGAAATAATTGATAAATAATTTGAGTTTTTTCTATGAAAGTTTAATTAATTTTATAACCGTAGTTTTCACAGGTTATAAACTAATGTATAAATAAAGTCTATCTAAACTAATTGTTGTATGCATAAAAACTGTTTCTTTCTTTGGATTGAATGAACCATTTGAATTATGAGTCAATGACAATTTTATCCTTCTCAACATATTCAATAGATTATGCAATAAAATTGCAAGGAATCATGAATAGTGACTAGTATCTGGTTAAGATTTATACGCCATATATCAAAAGAGCCATCATTTCAACAAAACATCAAACAAAAAACACATACAAGCAATCATGAATTCATGATCTTCAAAGTATTTTAAACTTTGGCAAACCACATAATCTCATTACACACAATCAGTAAAAGTTAGCATCTAAACCTAAAACGAATCAACATAATCCTGCCTTGTTTCACACTTTCACATCCTCCTTTACACTTGTTCTACTCTCTTAAGCTCCTCTGTTTTACCTTTTATTTCCAATAGAGGTTTTTGCAATTGAAGGGATAGATGCTTTCACACAATTGCAACATATATAAATTCCTCTAGAATCCCCAATAAAATATCTACAACAAAAGCATCATTTTTACAAAATTTGTCAAAATCATCCAGAGTAGGTGTCAACAAATAAACAAATGGTTCAATAGTGTCCATGTAATATTCTCAAATCAGGATATAATCAATAGGAATATGATACTCAAGAATAAAGATTTACAAAATAAAATAAATAAATAAACAAATAAAAACTCACATTGACAACATATTCGTCTCCAAGCAATTGAGACATTGAATCATGGTTTTTATACATAATTTTAAGAACCGAAAGTAAAATCAAAGAAAGCTTCGACGAAAGGCTCATACCAAATATCTATCTATTTTAACCTACTTGACATTCACATCACTCTGATAACAAAAAATCCGAAAAGAAATTGCATCTCGACTAACTCAAACAATATTAGTTTAAAATTTCATGATGAAGATGGGCGACACAAAAAAATTTCATGATAGAACCTTTAGAGGGGAAGAACAGTATGACACTTAACATGATAATTTTTAAGTTTTTCTTATATTAAGCTCATTAAGTCGAAAAAAAAAACACCACACTTAAACTTAAAGTGTTGTATGAACAAAGATGTTCCTTTTTGGAATGAATGATACGTCTGAATAACAGTAAATACACATATTCTTTTTTGTATATGAATATGTAATGTGGCCTTTAGAAGCATAGCGGCTCTACGTCTAGTTTTTGCCACATTATCCTCTATCTAATTCCAAAATCCAACCAAATATTGCGGGGTTATGAATTCCTAAAGTTTGTAAAAGCAATAGAAAGAACAATAAAGAAGGGGGCTTTTAGGTAAAGATTAATTAGATGAAAAAAGAGGTCCGATTTAAATAAATCGACCGTTGATTATGAAATTTATAAACAACCAAACTACAAAAAACCCTAATCCTCAATTTATAAATACAAAAAAACAAGCAAACACTAGAAGTGTAGCACAAACAGAAACATGAGAAATATCATCTCGTTCTTCTTTGAGTTTTTTTTAAGCTTTTAAATTTCTTTTGCTTATTTCCATTTTACTTTTATGATGTTCATTTTTGTTTATTCACAGCGGGTTGAAGGAAGTATGGGTTTTAATGAAAGTTTAGAATATAGGTTTAAAGGATTTATTTTGGTTTTTGTTTGGTTTCTATTTGGTATTTTGTTTGAAGGATTCGATTCTAATCTTTTTTAATGTAAGTATGTTACTTGATTTTGTTTTAGATTATTGATTCCTTTTAGTTTCCATATTAGTAATTCCTTTTAGTTTAAGTCCTTATGATGTATTAGGTGTGTGATCGTATAAGGCCTATGTCATTTAGGGACATCACCCCTTCATGGTGTTGGTGTGAGCTTATGTGGTTGTGGCTATGGTTGGTCACAATCTCCCCCCACCCCATTCTCTCTCTATCTCACTCTTCATCTCCCCACTACTAGTGGAAAACCATTTCTTAAGGTTTGTGATCGAAGGTGGAATGATGTGGCACACCTTTACATATAAATGCATTGTTTTGCATCTTGGTTTAGCCTAAGGGGTGTAAACAAGCCGAGCCAGACTCATTTAAGTTATGAGGGGCTCGAGCTCGAGCTCGATTCAATTCGAGCTTTATTGCACCAAGCTCGACTCGAGCTTGTGAAGAATTATATAGGCTCAACTCGGGCTTGAGATCGACTCGTTTTTTGTATGATGAGCCTAAATAAGATTAGGCTCAGTTCAAGCTTGTTAAGAAACTCGCTTACTAATACCCTACATCCCTAATTCCTCAAATAATTTTTTTTATTTTAATATACAAAAATAATAATAATTTGTATTATATATGGGCTCATTTAGGCTTGTGAGCTCACTGATTGAAGCTCGACTCGAACTCATTTAATAAACGAGCCTCATATTTAGGCTCGAGCTTGGCTTAGGCTCGTTTAATTCGATCTTTAGTCGATTTTTTAACGAGTCGATCCTAAGTAGCTCACGAGTAACTTGGCTAGCTTACACCCCTAGGTATCATCACTGGTGAAAAGGCAGTGAAGAGGAAGCCACATCATCTAACCATTTCATTAGGTTCTTGAAAATGGTGTTCCCTAGTGAACAAGTAGTAAACACGAAAGAGAAAGAGGTGAAAGAAGAGAAAGATAGAGAGAATGCTTCCGTAAAGCTAGCAACTCCGCAACATAATTACTAAAAATCGAGAAGGTGTCCACTGGTGAGAGTGTATGCCACCTAGGCTTTGATGCACAAATTATCCCTCATACCATTTAGCCTAAGCTTCGTTACTTGTTATTTCTTCACAGCTGTCATGACAACCTTTTTAAATTTAAAAATTTAGGGACTTAGAGTGGGAAAAAAAAGACAATCCTAATTATATATTCCATTTATAATGAGAATCTCATAATAAAATTTAGGGTTATTGTCATTGTAGCCCAACAATCTTTAGTATAATGATTTAAATGGATCCTCGTGATTTTTTTGCCTTTAAAGGGTATCAACTTGTATTTTACCAGTCATTTTGATACTTTTACCTACATTAGAAGGTAACATTGCTTTGTCAAGTGCCAAGTAAGTAGATGAGGCAACAATATCCCAAAATCTTGAGAACATGCAACAACCACAATCAAACATGGTGTCACACTCCTTTAAAAATCTATACCACAAGTCGATCAATCAAACCCAGATTCACATTCCTCATTTTCATCATTAAATCCTTCAGCTCCATCCATGTACCCATCACTCAAGACCAAAGATCTCACTGAGAAACTGTTCCCGAACAACGATCAAAGCCATGAACAAGAACAACAATCAACCACTTTTGAATCTTCAGAGGAAGTTGTAATCAAAATCCCCAAAACAACAATCCATTTGGTTCCAGTAAACAACCTCCGGTTGGATTGATTCAGTCGCTACATCCAGATCCCAATTCGCAGCAAAACAATCTTTGGTAGATCTGGGAAATCCTGCTGGTTATGGTGGTGTAACCAGATTTCGATGTCGCAACTGGAGCATCGGGCGTTTACACCGAAGGAAGACGAGACGGTTCTTAGAGCTCATGCGAGGTTTGGTAACAAATGAGCTACGTTTGTCTGGTTATTATCGGGTCGGACTGATAATGCCATTAAAAATCACTGGAACTCTAGTTTGAAGAGGAAGTGTTATTCCATGATGAATGAAGAATTTAACGAGTTTTCGATTTAGCAACTGTCGTTGAAACGATCTGTTTTTGCTGGGTCTGGGGTGCCAGTGTCGGGTTTTTGCTTCAATCTGAGTAGTCCGTCGAGATTTGACGTCAGTGATTCCAACGTTCATGTTTATTGGCCAGTGACAAGATCTGCCACACCGGTTAAGGATCCGTTGACGTCGTTGAGTCTATCGGTTCCTGTATCCGAATCATTTGAAGCTTCATCGATGTCGGCGACAGTGGCACATCCTCCGCGAAAATGGCGATTTCGACGGCAAAGCAACAACTTCATGTATCCCGACTACCGATTAAGCAACCATACAAGGTGCTTCTGCCATTTAGTGCGGATTTTTTATCGGTGATGCAGGAGATGGTTAGGATGGAGGTGAGGGATTACATTACCGGAGTAGAACTTCAACATGTTGCGGTGGCTGGTTAATCGATTACTTATTTCTACATAAAGAAAATTTGGTGATGGAAAACCAACATGGCAAGTGATGGTTAGGATGAGAGAAACCAACCTGACATATGCAATATGATGATTAGGATGGGGTCTCCGGATGACCCCTTCAAATGTTTCATAATGACTTTTTAAAACCTAAAAATAAAAATTCGTACACTTCAAAGGCAAAAAAAAAAAAAAAAAAAAAAAAAAAAAAAAAAAAAACCATGGTACTAAAGATCGTTGCGTTGCGTAATAGTGACATTGCACTTAAATTTTACATAGAAGATATTGAATTAACTATAAATTTAAAAAAACAAAAAATAATATAAATTGATATTCATCCGTTGCAAATTGATGGTATATAACCGGTGAATCCTACACTCTGAAGGATTTAAAATTAACCAAACAAGAAACAAAGTAAAATAAAACAATGGGCGATGGCGATGAACTACATGAAGAAGAACGCTTTGACGTCCTCACTAAAACCGGTCTGAAAACTGGTATTTCTAAACCCAGGTCAGATTCCTTGCTAAAATAGATAATCTTCTGATCAATTTTACGTTTTTGAAAGTAACCCCATGTCAAAATAGCGTGACGTGATCGATCACAGTTTTCTGTCGCGAGTTAAACATTTTGATTCGGGTTTCGTTACTCCATTTATAAGAAACTGATAAAAGGGAACGGATTATCAAGTTCAATAGTTCTGTGATTTCTGCGATTCGGATTACAGACTATAACGTTAGACACAAGTTCTTCATGACAGACAACTGGCGATTAATATTTTAAAATACTCCATATCAAGTTTGAATTTGTAACTCATAGATTTGCCCTTATTTTCTTAGACACCGTCTTCCAGTTCTCGAACAGTTTATAATCAGTCTGATTTTGATATGAAGTTTCATCATTCATGTGATATTTGTGCTTAATACTGAATCAAACATTGTACAGAAGCGCCGTTCACAGAGATGGGGATTATCACCGAGCTGTTCATGTATGGATTTTTGCTGAAAGTACTCAACAACTTCTTCTGCAAAAACGTGCTGATCACAAGGATTCATGGCCTGGATTATGGGATATCTCCAGTGCAGGTCATGTATCTGCTGGAGATACGTCCCTTATCACAGCCAGGTATAGATTATCAGATGCTATTGAAACCCTTTTTTGATAAAATTTGCTGAATGAGAATCTTTCTGCAAAAAGGTTGTTCTTCCAACAGTACCCACACTTGAACTCTTGACCATTTCCACAAGTATACCACCATTTGAATGGGAATCTTTATGCATTTTGGCTAAGGGTGTATGCTATATTTGTTAAATATTTATTTTACACTTTAGTTTATAGTCATATGACTTGAAAATGTCGTATGATTGCAGGAGAGAGCTTCTAGAAGAGCTTGGTGTAAACCTCCCGAATGATGCCTTTGAATTGCTATTTGTTTTCCTTCAAGAATGGTAGACTTTCATAGTGCTTCTAAATTCTTTAAAGATCATTACACGTTTTCAAATGTTAGCTTAAAGAATCTTGTATAAAATGATCATTCCTTTTTATAGTGATATCATTGTCTTTCTGTTTGGTTGTAGTGTTACAAATGGTGGGAAGTTCATTGATAATGAATTTGATGATGTTTATCTTGTAACAACACTAGCCCCAATTCCCTTGGAAGCTTTTACTTTACAGGTGTTGTGTTATCCAATCATTGTTTATTTTTGGGAAGATGTACAATTAATTACATTTAAGGATTGATGGATTTGAATTTTACCAAATTACACTAAAAAAAACCGGTATTTCTTTTTCCATTGTAGGAATCTGAAGTTTCAGCTGTTAAATATATCTCTATTGAGGAGTACAAGAGCCTACTTGTTAAAGGAGACCCTGAATATGTACCTTACAATTTGGAGGGACAATATGGTCAACTTTTTGACATAATTACCAAAAGGTACACACCTTTGAACAAAGAAGCACTATTATATGTATACATGAATAGTAGTGAAAGTGAAACCATAACATTATAATATTGAGTTGAAGCATTAACTTGGATTGTTTGTTTTAACAGAAAGGAAATAAATTTTGAAATGAAACATATTTATACTACCAAATTGAATGATTATTTTTTTTGTTTATTAAATTGAACGATTAATTAAATATTAATTGGAGTTCTTGATAGGTACCAAAACAACATGGAAGCAAAAAGTTTGCTTCTGCAAAAGAAGCTCAACCGTTATGCTCCTATCTCACTTGATGCAGAGGTCTGTTTTTTCCTTCATTTTTTTTAGTATTATAAATTTATAATTTGAAAAAAGAAATTTTAATCAAATTCTTGTATGGCAGTTGACAGGTCTCTCCAAGGAGGACAAGGAAGCTTTGGTTTTACTCATTCAAGCTGCAAGAATAATGGATGATATTTTTTATGAGCAGGTTCTTTTTTTTTTTTTTTTTAAATATATGAAAATGCTTTTTAATGGAATATTTTTCTTCTTATTTCCATACCCTTTTTTGTTTGAATCAGGTTTGGTCTAGCAATTCATCTTTAAGGGAATGGTTAAAAGGGCGTGGTCAACTATCTGAGTTTGACATGTTAAAATGGAAGTATTATTCCATAAATAAGAGTCCATGGTAAGATTACCATTCTACCCCTAAACATACTTTAGTAGTGTCTCTCTTACAAGATCTTCTCAAAAAGAGTGTCATCCAGACTATATTATATGTGATCTGAAAAAGGGTAAAACGGTAAATGGTTTCTTTTCCAGGTCTTCTCTTGATGAAAATGAAGCATTTTTGACAACTGCAGACTCTGCTGTGAAATTGCTTCCGGAAGCAACAAGGAAGGTGGCTGGTTGGAAAGGTCTAGAATACAAAGCTGCATTTCCCCTTGTGAAACCACCTGGTGCCAATTTTTACCCTTCAGATATGGATAAAATGGTAATTTTTGTAATGTTTCATATACTTATAAATTGCTATATACTTCCATTTATTTGTGTTTATATGCTTTGTATATGGATAACATTGCTATTACTTACATTTTACCCTTTCCTTTATTATGAAAGGAATTTGAATTATGGATGAAAGGGCTTTCAGATAATGAAAAACAAGATGCAACAGGCTTTTTCAATGTTATTAGAAGGCATAGTGATTCTCATTCCAATAATATAGCAGTTATTAGTAATCCTAATCCCACAAGTGATCTCTATATCATTCCATTCTCTCAAGAATATTCTGCCTTTCTTTCAAAAGCAGCTGAATTATTGCATAAAGCAGGGGATTTAACCACTTCACCTAGGTATTCTATACATTTTATGAAATCTTATTATATCCATTAATTCATACGTATAAAGTTTATTCACATTTTTGTAGTTTGAAGAGATTGTTACATAGTAAGGCTGATGCTTTTCTCTCTAATGACTATTATGACTCTGATATAGCTTGGATGGAATTGGTCAGTGCACAATTTAGTTAATCCATTATATGAATTGTCTTATTATTATTATTTTTTTTAATATCAAATTTGCTTTTAATTATTTTTTCATCTTCTTAAGGATTCTAAGCTGGATGTTACTATTGGTCCATATGAGACTTATGAAGATGTACTATTTGGATACAAGGTATTGTTTTATTGTTTTTATTCTTTTGTGCATTTCACTAAAAAAAAGTTATTCCAAAGATTGTTGTGATTTTTCTTTAGGCGACATTTGAGGCATTTATTGGAATTCGGGATGATAAAGCAACTGCTCAACTTAAACTCTTTGGGGATAATTTGCAGGTGTGATTTTGGATTTACTATGATAAATATTATTTGATATATATTTTTTATCTAATTAATGAAAGTATTTAGGTCTTGGAGCAAAATCTTCCAATGGACAACATGTACAAATCACAAGATGTGATATCTGCACCTATTCGTGTCATCCAGCTTGTTTATAATTCAGGGGTAAGTTAATGGGACAAAAGACATGAATGCCCTCATCATCAAAAATAGACCTAGAAAGCTTGTAAATTAAGATATGACATTTTGATTTATATTTTTAATTAATGCAGGATGTGAAGGGCCCACAAACTGTTGCATTTAATCTTCCGAATGATGAGCGTATTGTAAAAGATCGTGGTTCATCAATGGTCATGTTGAAAAACATTTCTGAGGCAAAGTAAAGTGAAAAATATTCCATGATTATATATAATTTTTTTAAAAAATATATCTTGATTCTTAATTAACATGTTTTTATGACTAGTTTTGTAAAAATGATGTAACAGGTTCAAGCTAATTCTTCAGCCTATAGCAGACTTGTGTATTGTAAAGGAACAAAGGGAGCTAGTTGACTTTGACTCTTTTTTCACTCACACAATTTGTCATGAATGTTGTCATGGAATAGGACCACATACAATAACACTTCCTAGTGGTCAAACCTCTACTGTGAGATTGGTTAGTTTTTTCTGATGGAATCGGAAACGGAATGGAATCGTTGATTCCGTTGGAATGATTTTTTTTTTTGTTTCCTTGATGAAACAGGAGCTACAAGAACTTCACTCGGCTCTTGAAGAAGCTAAAGCGGACATTGTCGGCTTGTGGGCCCTTAATTTCCTTATTTCAAAGGTCAGTTGATAAAAAAAGTATAGTTGTCAATTTTGTCATTATCATATCCTCTTTATGTTTGACTTTTTATTTTGTATGGGGTTGACCAGGGTTTACTTCCAAAGACCCTTGTAAAGTCTATCTATGTTTCTTTCCTTGCTGGCTGCTTTCGATCAGTACGTTTTGGGTTAGAGGAAGCTCATGGGTAACTCAACTAATCATTAATTTTTTTTTTTATAAACTTCTCCTCCATATTTATAGCACTAATGGATTTTTTTTTATTTTTTTTATTCAAAATATATCAGGAAAGGACAAGCGCTACAGTTTAACTGGCTATTTGAAAAAGGAGCCTTTGTTTTGCATCCTGGGGAGACGTTCTCTGTTGACTTTGATAAGGTATGTTTTCCCTAACTTTTTTAAAATCAAAATCAAAATTTTTACCATTTTTTAATTAATTGTTGTATGTGTTGAAATAATAAGATTGAAGATGCGGTTGAGGGGTTAAGTAGGGAAATACTTACGATCCAGGCTAAAGGAGACAAAGAAGCTGCTCGGAAGCTTCTAGAAGAATACAGTGAAATGACACAACCTCTCAACACTGCTTTGGGAAAATTAGCAAGGGTTGAGGTAAAAAATTCAACTTATGTTTATAGCTTTTAGATTTTGTGACTTATATGCTTACTTTAATAGGTTTATTTTATTATTTTATTATTTTTTATTTACTTGTTTGATGAATTTACAGGTCCCGGTTGACATAGCACCGGATTTTCCAGTTGTTACAAATTTACTGCACAAAAAGTGATCAACTTTTGTAGTCTTTTTTTATTACGGAATTACCTTTAATTAGTTTGTTCTCAAGAAATTGTTGACTCCTAATGTTTTCAACTATTGTTGTGTAGTTTAAACTATATATCATTAGAAATAGAATATGATGTTTACAAGGTTGATGAATAAAATATCAACTTTGATTACAAACCGACATCAACTATACTATAACCTCCTGGTTTCTTCAACCTCATATCTTCCACACACTTTCTCAACTTGACAGCATCACTCCAACTTCCAACACCAACATAAGCATTCGCTAAACAAACATAGTACCCTGCTTTTTGAGGTTCCAAATCAAAAAGAATCTCACCTACTTTCTTCCCCATTTCAACATCCCCATAATAACTACACCAACTCAACATCGCCCCCAAAACACCTTCATCTCTCAACACCATCTTCTCTATAAACTCATAAGCCTCACTCAACCTCCCACATCTACCCAACATATCCACCACACAAACATTATGCTCCGTGACCCGTTCCACACCATATTCATCTAACATGCAATTATAGTACCCGACCCCTTCTTCCACCAGCCCCGAATGACCACAAGCTGATAACAAGTTTATAAAACTCGTTTTTGTCGGGGGTATTTTGGTCATTATCATTTCGTTGAACACCTCAATCGCCTTTTTACCCTCGCTGTGATACCCGTATGCGGAAATCATCGAATTCCAACTTGCAATTGTCTTTTCCGGTGAAGAACGGAATATGATGATGGAAATGTCGAGCCTCCCGCAATTGCTATACATGTCGATAAGTGCAGCGTTTATGAAACTGTTTTTGTGGAAATTTGATCTTAGAATATATCCATGGATTTGTTTTCCATATCTGATTGTTCCTAAATGCGTACATGATGATAAAATAGTCGCGACTGTGATCTCATCAGGTTCAAAATCCATGTTTTTAAATAAACATAACGCGGTTTTCGCTTCCTTGTTTTGAGAAAGAACTGAAATCATGCAGTTCCATGAACAAAGATTCCGGTCAACACACAAGTCAAACACCAAACTCGCACTCTTGACATCCCCGAATTTTCCATACATTGTGATTAACACATTTTGTACACGAACATCTCGATCAAATAAAGTTTTATGCGCGATTCCATGAGCTAGTTTCCCCGGAATCACCGATTCCAGGGTTCCAGAAGCGGATATGATGCTTACGAGGGTAACGGAATCGGGTTTTGTGTATGTTTCTTGTCTCATTAAGTTGAAAGTTTTTAAAGCTTCTAGAAAGTATCCGTTTTGTGTGCAGCCTGTGATCATGGCATTCCAACATGCGGTGTCTACAACTTTTGTAACACTTTGTAATAATGTATAAGAAGCTTTCAAGTCTCCACAATTGGTGTACATGAAGATTAAGGAGTTAATCGCATGGATATTGTTCGAGAACCCTAATTTCAACTCCCAACTGTGTAAAGATTCCCCAAATTTAAGAAATTCAGGTGAATCACAAGAAGAAAGGATTGCTAGAACAGTTGATAAACTGCATTCCAAACATTGATACAATAATTTCTTGAATAGGATTTGAGCAAATCTTGAATTCCCATTTTGGGTGTATCCGGATATCATAGTATTCCAAGAAACCAAATCTTTATCTTTTATAGGCATGAACAAATTTTCAGCTTTATCTATTTGGTAGCATTTGGAATACATGTTCATAAGACTATTATTCAATATTAGGTCAAATGTGGGCAATCTTTTTATAAAGAATCCATGAATGGTTTTCCCTTCTCTTAAAAGCATTGATTCTGCACATAATGAAAGTACAGAAAGTATTGTCACTGTATCCGGTTGGATGGAAGATTTTATAAATTGCATTTCACTGAAAAGATGAAATGCTTCAAGAATCATTCCATTTGAAGCAAACCCTTGAATCATTGTATTCCAAGAAACCAAATCCTTATCATAAATCCCTCTAAACAGAATCTCAGCAGCATCAATATCTCCACATTTTGAGTACAATGAAACAAGGGCATTTTGGACAGAAACATGAGGGGTTTCATCTAATCCAAGTTTTATTCCAAACCCATGAAGAGTCTTACCAATATTATGAAGATTTAGAAAAGAATTTGAAGCTGCAATAGCACATGATAAGCTGACATCATCGACTTGTGTTTCACAAGAAACCATGTTCTTGAAATACCATAAACATTTTTCAGGATGCTGGTTTCTTAAACAACCAGTAATCATAGAGTTCCATGAAAATTTGTCTTTCACTTTGGAATCCATAAATATGCTCTCTGAGGACTCCAAATCACCAGATTTAGCATGTGCATTGATAAGAGCATTGCATAGATCAGAGTAAGAAAGTAAACCTAGCTTTAGGCCTAAACTATGAACAGCCTGTAGATATAGCAAACTATTTGTAATGGTTGACAATGCTGAAATGGCAATCACTAGAGTTACAGAGTCAAACTTGATTCCTTCATGTAGCATTTGAACAAAGAAGCTTATTGCATCCGTAAACTGTCCATTTTCGATTGTACATGTCATCATTGCATTCCAAAGTACCACATCTTTGCAAGAAATCTCACCAAAAAGTGCCATGGAAGAAGGATAATGTCCTGCTCGTGCATAAGCAATAATAAGAGAAGTGGAAGTGGGGAGATGAGCGAGAACACCGACCTTCAATGCTAAGGCATGGACATTGACTATGTTTCTAAAATCGGGTTTCACTTTACATAACTCAACAAGATCAAGAACATCAAAAAACCCAATAGCGAAAAAGCTTTGAGTTCTCCTAGGCATTTCATCGAACGGTTGGCAGGGCCCATGAAAAAGTCTGGCCAAAATAGGAGAAGTGATGATCGGCAACAGCAAGCGATTGTTGCAGGTTTTGTAGGCAGAAAATGGAACGAAATTGAGAGGGAACGAAGAAGGAGTCGTTTTCAAAGATTTGCAAAGTACACTTGCCCAACGAATCATGCGTCGATGTTGTTATTATCTTTTCATAGGCATTTTTCAGTTCATTGATACGAATCTAAAGGACGATAACCTTTGTATGCTTGTGTCGCACATCAACATAACTATGGCTGGTTTTAAATTTTAATATAGTTTAAAACTAGGTGCGACATCATGAATATTTTTATATAAATACAAAGAGTAAATTACACGAATGGTCCCTAGGGTAATTTGCGTGTTTGATCCCTAACTTATTTTTTTAACTCGGAAGGTTCTTATGGTTTGTTTTTGTTACGTGTTTGGTCCCTACTGTTTATTTTTATTACGTGTTTGGTCCCTGTCTTATCTAAAAAGACTATTATTTAAAGAGGAAAAAATTATGAGGTAGGTGAGGTAAGGTGAGAGGGTGAGATTAGGGGTGTGTTTATTTAAATAAATTAAAAAAATCAAGGGCATAATAGTCTTTTTAGGTAAGATAGGGACCAAGCGCGTAACAAAAACAAACAGTAGGGACCTTCCGAGTTAAAAAAATAAGTTAGGGACCAAGCACGCAAATTACCCTAAGCCATAGGGACCATTCGTGTAATTTACTCAAATACAAATGAAATGATAAAAAACATAGTCTTACCCATAATTATTAATATTGCAAATGGTTTCAAAATGTGATAAATGCTGTTTAATTCATGAATGATGAGAAAAACATCATGGTTTGCTATTAAACATTAAAATTTAATAGAATAAAGATAACAACAATAATACGGCAGTATAATCTAGTTGTTATAAAAAATCCTAACAATTAAGATAATATAAAACTTAAACTTATACTTTTTATCTAGGTGTGTATCGCATAGAGTAAGCATATTCCAATTCTTTTCTAGTTGTGTACAAATTCTTTTTAAACAAATAATTTTCTTTTCAAGAAATATCATATTCTAAAAAACATGTAAAATATCATATCTTTTTTACCGTCGACTCAACTTACGTAAAACGTAAAGTTGTAAAGATTCCAATGATAATAGCGACACATGATTAATGAAAGAGGGAAATTACAAGGTTCTTGATGAAAAATATTTTTTGGCTACAAAAAAGAAAATGAATAACAAATACTAATTAAGAACCAAACCCTAAAAAACTAAAAGCTAAAGAGCCCACAAAAACATGTGGCTAATAACATATGAGCTAGCATCACCCCTCAAACTCACAATGTCATATCAATAAACATTGAAAATTTGTCACACAAAAAGCAAAACCGAGATGTTGATAGAGCATTCGTAAAAATATCCGTAAGCTGCAAGGTTTATGAAACAAATGGAAGCAATATGGTTCCGAGCTATAAGTGATGAAGGATGAACTTGAAGTGACAATCAATCAATGTATTTCGTCCGCTCATGGAAAACAAAATTCTTCGCAACTTGTATCGCACTTTTGTTATCACAATGCAAGTGAGTAAGTGAAGAAATGTGAACCCCCATATCCGCAAAAAGCCACCGTAACCAGATAATCTCACTTTTAGTCACAATCATATCACGATACTCAGCCTCAGTGGAAGATCTAGAGACAACGTCCTGTTTCTTGCTCTTCCATGATATGACCAAAAAAAAACATTCAAAATCCAGTGCTAGATTTACGATCATGAAGATTGTCGTCCAAATCAACATTACTATAGGCATGAAACTCATGAGAAGACGTTGAGAGAAACAAGAGGGTCTGAAACTGGGTGTCACGAAAATATCTCAGAATACGGAGTATAACTCCCCAATGTACAACAGTAGGAGCAGTAACAAATTAATTGACAACATGAACATGAGAAATATTTGAACGATAAACCAAACTTCCCACAATGGTCCAGTAAGGATTTGGATTGGACAAAGGAAAACCATAATAGCACAGTACTGTGCATTGGTTTCAAGAGGAGTATCTACAGTCTGATTGTCAGAGAGATCCGCTTGTATAAACTAGTCAGATATATATATATATATATATATATATATATATATATATATATATATATATATATATATATAGTATGAGAAAGAAGGCACCATTTCTTAGACTGAACTACCTTAATACCCAAGAAATAACGCAACAATCTCAAATCTTTCATAGTAAATTGATGAGCTAGATCATGCTTAAAAAACTCAATACCACCGTGATCATCACCAGTAATAATCATGTCATCCACATATACGGATAAAAGAAATCGTCCTACACTCATGATCTAATGAACAAAGTTGAATTATGATTGCTTTGGATAAATCCTTAAGAGATAATCGTTGTGGAAAAATTTTCAAACCAAGCACAAGGTGCTTGCTTGAGACCATACAAAATTTTGCAAAGCCGGCAAACCTCACCCGGATGATGTTGAATTCCTAGGGAAGGCCACCATTTAAAAAAACATTCTCGACATCCATTTGAAAGATCTTTGCTACTAGGGAAACAGTTTCCTCATAATCAAAACCGTGTTGTTGGGAATACCCTTTTGCTACAAGTCTGGCCTTATACCACTCAATAGACCCATCATATTTAGTTCTTATCTTGTACCAACGACAACCAATTATATGTTTCCCAAGAGGAAGAAGAACCAAATCTCATGTATGAATCTGATAAAGAGCAATGAGTTCCTCAGCCATAACA